AAAACTTTAAGAATAGTACCGTTTCTTAAATATTTATTCTCGTATGACATATCAAAACTTATAATAAATTTTTTATTTACAAAATTAATTCTATTTATTTGTATATAATTGGTAAAATAAATTAATTGTCACTCCTATCGCTATTATCTCCTATTGGTTCCGTATTCTTCGAGTTCGTATAGTGCTTACAGCCCTTCCTATGCTTCTTTTGGCGGTGTTGTGTCAGAAGTATAGGCTCTTCTGTCGTATAGTAATGTAGGGGCGGATGGAAATGTGGTTTTTGGTGGTGGTGTGGGAATAGGGACCGGCGATAGTTTAGATAATTATTGTTATTCCTATTGTTGTGATTGTTTGGATGCTTTCGATGATAGGAATGAAATGAATACGATTTGTATGAATGCATGTTTGAATTGAACCGTTCATTTAAAATGTTTGATGGATTGCAATTGGAGTGCAAGTGATGACCATTATTAGTATCTCTAATGTTGTTATTAATAGTATTATTCTTATTATTATTCTGACAATTGTTGGTAACATTTGCAACACTTTTCAACTTTCCTTTCGCTTCACTTCGCAGCCGTTCCCTTCGTTTCTCTATAAGTATTTCTCTGAGTTTCACTTCCCGTTCCTCGCGTTTCTTCACAAGTATTTCCCGAAGTTTTACCTCTTCTAACAGCAGCTTATCCTTCACCTTCTGTTCGGCTCTCTTCCTGCTCTCCAACTCTTTCTTATGCTTCTCTTCCGATTGGACGCCAGACACCGGACTCCTCGGAGGACTTATCTCTGTCTGCGTGGTCTGAGTTTGTTTGCAATTGTCGGGTGACTTCTCACGAGTTTTATCACCGTTTCGAAGACCTTCGCCCTGTTTGTCGGCCTCTTCTTGCAGTTTCTTGAGTTGTCTCTTAGTCTCGGCCCTTAACCTCTTCAGTTCCATCATTGACTTGAATGCCAGCGCCTGAACAGCCGGATCAGAGCTGAAAGCAAACTGACGTTGAATTCGTCTCCTTTTAATCGCTTTATCGCTTAAATGTCTTGTTTTGTCGAAATCTACTTTTATATCATATTCCAAATGATTGTTCTTTTGATTCTGAATTTCCGACAACTTCTTCACTAATTTCATTCCTCGTAAGGCGTCCATCGCTTTGACGAATCCAATGTAATCTCTGTATTGAATGAATGCCTCAAAACTGAGACTTTCGTTAAAAGTAAATCGTTTGAAGCCTTCTTCCTCTTTGGTGTCCAGACATGGGATATGAAAGCGTCGGATATCGCCAAAGGTTCCGAAGAGTTTGACCAATAGGTTGGGTTTGGGTCTCTCGCCTCCCAACCACTTCACTGGTAATGACTGTCAATGCGATCACATATTTAATACAATCAAACATTAAATGCATATCTAATAGGACTGGTAGAGCACCTGTACGTGAATGGTGTCGGGCCTCAACCCCGGCTTCATTTCATTCATAAGTGGGTTATCTCTGAAATATGTCTCCCATTCGTGTCTCGTGGACCCTAAAAG